ATCTTTATAAGGGATTGCCTTATTTTTCTCCTATGGAGCACCTGGTGAGTTTGAACTACCAGCCTTTTAGTCAGCCTCAGACTCCTATGACTGATAACTACCAGAGCTCCTTCAAACTATCTTCCTCTTGTGGTAAGCCATGAGATTGCTTTTAAGTTTTAAGAAGCAAGTTAATTTTGTCTACATTCATTGCTTTAAAATACCAGTACAAGCCAAGAGCTATGAGCCATTAAGTTAACTTCATTCTGATCTTTGTTTCCATATCATTTAATAACATGGGCCACTACTGAATATTTTCCACTTTGACTTTACAGAGTTCAGGGAGAAGGTCCCTAAACGTCTAGAACTGTATTATTATAGTGGTTCTTAACTCCTATCATTACCTTAACTCCAAACAACTAAAATTATTTTCCACTTACTTTTCCTAACTTTCTCATGTGCACAAAGTTGTTGTCTCTAAGAATTTCTGTATTCCTTCCATTTTCTTTGGATATCTCTTTTCATCATTACTTCCCCCCCCCCCTTTCTTGTTGTGTACTATCAAATCAGACACAACTGGCATAGGAGATTGCCCCTTTTTCTCCATTAGAGCATCTGGTGGATTTGAACTGCACACCTTTGGGATTTCAGTGCAACTTTTTTGCCACAAGGCCACCAGAGCTCCCTCCTCAATTGCCATTTAAAATGTGACTTTTTATGGTGAGCTCTGGTGGCCTAGTGGCAAGAAGGTGTACTGCAATCCCAGAGGTGCACGGTTCAAATCCACCAGATGCTCTGCTGGAGAAGGAGGAACACTCTCCTCCTGTACCAGTCAGATCTGATTTGATGGTACACACAAAATAATAAAATAAAAATAAAAAGCTGTTTCCTTTAAAAACAAAAAAGCTTGATTTTTTTTTTTACGTGACAAAAGATTATCCAGTGTTAAAACCTAATGACTGATATTAAAGAATATTAGTTGTAAAAGTTTTTCAGAAGGCCACATGTAGATAAGTAGAGACCTCAACTAAGAAGATTGAAGGCACAAAGTCACTGCACCAGAAAGAAGTAAATGGTCAGTATCCAGCCATTTCAGGGAGGTAGCATTTGCTTAGGAACCAAAGGTACTGACATGTTCAAGATACTGTCAAGTCATTGGTGAAAAACAGGACTCCCAGTAAATGAATGAAAATAGAACTTTTCTGTAAACTTTTGTTAAAATCACAATAAAATGAAATATTTTTAAAAAGCAAAACAGGACTCCAGTATTGATAGTCTACCAATTAGGTTGTTGCAGCACATAGATGAACTGGAAGCTTTCATTTATCCCAAGAAATGTGAATAACTGCTACCTGGACACTGGTACAGATCCAGGTTTGTGCCTTTTCCAATGCAAAATTATCCAACAGATTGTCACATAGTATTATATCACATGTAAGTAAATTTTTTCTGAATATTAAAAATTATCAGCTGTACACCAACAAGGAGCAGTCAGAAATTCAAACCAAATTCACATTTGTACAAGAAGTATCATTGCTGATACCGGATGGATCTTGGCTGAGAACAGGGAATGCCAGAAAGATGTTAATCTGGGTTTCATTGTCTGTGGAGGAAAACTGGGTAACATCACAAAGAGTGGGAGTCCCAAAACAATGATACTTATGGTGTGAACTTTTTAATGAATCAAGAAGCAGTCAGTTGAATAGAAAGAGGATTACTGCATGGTTTAAAATTGGGAAAAGTATAATTGGAGTTGTATACTTTTGCCATATTTATTTAGTCTGTATACTCTGCAACTTGATAAATTTAAGATTGGAAGTATCATAGGCAGCTTGTGATAGGAATATGCCGCAACCTTACTAGCTGACAGTGAAAAAGACTTGAGATGCTTATTGATGAAAATCAAAGACTTCAATATACAAAAAAACCATCAAATTTAGTTTTACTTGGATTCAGTTAAGTGCCTGTGATAGCATCAAGAAACGATGTATTACATTGGGTTAGGACAAGTATTTTTGCCTTTACCAAGACTTTTAGATTTCTGATGCAAGAATTTCAGCCATATTTGTTGAGCAGCAGTTTGACAGTACTGGTGATTACTGTAAAATGGCACCTAAAGCAGGAAAAGGAGTTGTTTGATCTTCCTAGTTATCTAGTAGTGTTCTTGGCAGATGAGTGATGTAGCTGTTGATGTTAAATTTTGTTCTTGATTGTGGATTATGATCCTGAGAAATGGAAATCATAAATTACTGAGACTGAAATGATGGCTCTTTCTCATCATAGTTTTCGTGCTAAATATCTTGCACTAGAAGTCAGGGAGCACAGATGAATAAGCACTCTGGACCTGCTAGCTAAAACTTTGCTTGTTCCAGACCTACCTGAGGTTTCATCAGAAGACAGACTTAGCAGTCTGCTTCTTAAAGTTCACAGCCTTGAACCATAAGCACTTCTACTCTGTACTCTTGAGTTCAGATAGGCAGTGTTAAGGGTAGGGTCTACTGGAACATTTAATGTTTTAATAGGTTAACAGATGACAAAGTCTATATTCTGTTCTTCTGTCATCATCTTAATGGCTTGCTAGGTTACACTCATTTCTCTGACTTTTCTTATTTATTCCTACTTAGTGAGGTTCCAGCTTTTTGTAATTGTAGAAAATAGAAATTGTGGTCACTTTTCAGCTCCCCTTCCACACACAGGGATAGCTAGTTTGCAGCCAGAATGTCTCTGAAACCATTTCCGGAAAGACTAGATGTATTCTTAGTCTTTGGCAGTATAAAGTGTTTCTAGTTTTTAACTTACTCACTTTGGTTTTATTTTGCAGGAATGACACTAAGGAAGATGTATTTGTACACCAGGTGAGTGCTTGTGCGGATACTTAATACTTCTGACTAGAGGTTTGTGTAGAAAGGAGTTCCTTATCTTAACTACTTGTAAAAACGTCATATGTCTACTTGAGAACAACCAGTGCTTACATGTGTTTGAACACATTGAAACATTGTTCACTTAGTTAGAATTGATGTTTCAAGTTGGTATTTTTTGTTAATAACTGTAGCTTTTCATTTTAATATTGAAGCTGCCATACTCTGCACTAGACTATCTAACCCAGAAGAATTAACTTCCATGAACCTAAATTTTAACAATGGCAAGGTCATATGCTGTTAGATTTGCCTCTCTGGTAAGGACAAAATAGCATCATAGAGGAAATAAGGCAATGAGTGCTTTGGGCATATTAATTTGAAATAGAATGCTAGAAAGCTAGCAGAGTCAATATAGAAAAAACAATTGCTGTTAAATAGATTTTGACAAAGCGGGACCCCATATCATGTGTCAGAGTAGAAGTAAATCACCAGACCTTTGGGTGAACACTCACCTGAAATCTATTTTCTAAGGCATTTTGAATTATGGGGCAATATTGGAGCACTTTGGCTGACCTGGAAACTTAATAAAACCCTAGTTAATTTAAGTAAAACAAAGTAATGATAAGGTTTTAGTTTGACTTTGGATGTTTGTTAGAGATAAAAATACTATAGTATAGTACTACTGATGTTAAACTAGTTTTTAAGTACATTTAAGGAAAGCACTTTGAAAAGTATTTAGCATTAAGAACTAAAAGTGCTATTTAAAATAAACCTCTGCTAAGTGATTTGTAGGCTCCGTTGTACTTGGCTAATCATTTCATATTTGAAATGAATAGAAAAACAGATTTTTACTAAGTTTTTTCATCCCATCACTAATTAAAATATTGTCTAAACTTCTAACAGCATTTTTACACTGTATTCCAGTGTGAGTTTGTAAGGCACTTTATTTCTTTGGTTGCGGGGGAAGACTGTCTTAGATTGGTGCTCTCTCATACAGTAATCAATGGTAATCAAGAGGAACACCACACTAATACATACAAAATCCAGTTACAGAAAAATAGGAAAAAGTTTAATTTCTAACTGTAAGTGAACATAGGACAACTCAGGGTTTTTTTAAAAAAAAAACCAAACAGGTGTTTATTAAATTGATAGTTCTTTGGGTAAAGATAATTTCTCTCTTCATGTTCAGAGGAATATGCAGGTATAGGAATAAAAGACCACAAAGTATAAATTTGGTACACAACCATTTGGGTGTGGGACTAACTGAACTTGACAGAAAGAGCTTAAGAGTTTTAATTCTCTATACTTGATACTATATCCCCTATGACTGCAAGTCATTAATAGTTGGGTTTATATGTAAAGGTATGAAAACTGGGACAGTTTAGATGACAGGTAAGATCATTTATTTGACTGAACTTGTGTCACCCAGTTGTACTGATTTATAGGGTGCACCAGTATGTTTCCTCCTCATTTTGAAAATTGGTTTCAGCATTTAGTTGTTTCTTAGGACTGTGTCTGGCTGCGCAGGTTTTAGTGGTGTATCAAGGAGTCTGTGGTTCTGGGCAACTTAACGTAAATGCCCTCAGATTTGTCGATTGTCCTGCCTCCTTTTGAATGGAAATGCATGAATGATTCTGTAGTAGATAATGCTGTGCTTTAGTGGGATGAGCATGGGATTTGGAGTCCCAAAACTGCGTTTAGAAGTCCCTGCTCAGCCACTGATAAGCTATGAGATCTGGAGCAAGTTGCCTAACTTTTAAAAGCTATTTTATCTGTAAAAAAGGAGTAATAATACCTCAGCTCATATATTACAAAGATTGTTAAGTGGTATGTGAAATAAATTAGATAAAACCATTAAACTAAAATATGAGGTGTTATTCTTCCCGTTTTACTTTTTGCTAACTTCTAGAGAAATATACATCCATAACGTGAGATAACATGTAATCTGGGGAGGTCTTAATCAGCTGCCTCATGCAGTCAGATAATATTTTTTAAAGTGGCATAGTTAATATTTGTCAATTGCATTTCCATTGAAGATTATAGGTTGGAAGGGATTTTGGTTGATATTTGTAATTGAATTTTATACAGTAATAAGGATAAAGTTGTTTTAGTCAACTTAGAAGCTTGTAAAACTAAACTTGCCTGTCATCTAAACTGGACCTGTGTGGGGCAGCATCTGCTTTTTTGGGGAATAGATGGAAATCTTCACTTTGTTCAAAGCTATATACAGTGCTTTTGCAAAAAGCAGTTTTAAAATATTGCTGTTTGTCTTGAGTGTTAAACTACTTGCTTTAGTTTTGAAAATAGCGGTAAAATGCTGGGATCTTGTATGATTGGAATATTTTGGTTGAGGTTGGGATAGCATTGATCCTTGCATTCCTTATTAACTTATTGACAGTCTGGTCTAACTGTAAGTTAATTTTAAGATATATTGACTCTGGTACATTTTAAATGAAAAAGCACCTTATTCTCCCCTATTAATCTATTTTTGGAATGTGATATTACTAGACTGCCATAAAGAAGAATAACCCCAGGAAGTACCTTCGCAGTGTAGGAGATGGAGAGACTGTGGAGTTTGATGTTGTTGAAGGAGAAAAGGTGAGGATGCTTTTTGTGTAAAGGTTTGACTTCAGTACAGACATATTTTGGAGATCTCATCCGTTCGGATGGTGGCGCTAATGTGGATGGATGGGTCAGGTGACTACATGAACACAGGTGCGTCAAGCCTAACATACTGGCTGCAGTTAAAGGGCAATCTCTTCAGAATTGTGAGGAGCAGATAACTTAGTTATTTTTTTATGTACCCCTGGCCATGTTAGGCCTTGTGGTTTTTATTTAATAATTTGTGTGAATTTTGTTTGTGAGTGTAGTTTGTTTGTCACCACTAATGTATATGACTTTTGTAGGGTGCGGAGGCAGCAAATGTTACAGGTCCTGGTGGCGTTCCAGTGCAAGGCAGTAAATATGCAGCAGACCGTAACCATTATAGACGTTATCCACGTCGTAGGGGTCCTCCACGTAATTACCAGCAGAATTACCCGAATAGTGAGAGTGGGGAGAAGAACGAGGGATCGGAGAGTGCTCCCGAAGGCCAGGCCCAACAACGCCGGCCCTACCGCAGACGACGGTTCCCACCTTACTACATGCGGAGACCCTATGGGCGTCGACCACAGTATTCCAACCCTCCTGTGCAGGGAGAAGTGATGGAGGTAAGTTTCACCAAAGAGAAAAAGGATGGAAAACGACATGTGAAATTTTTTATAGGATTGCATTTTAACTGTTTTCTGAGGTTCTCCCCTACATTGAGGCTGTTTTCATGAATATAATTTCTGATTGTGCTCCATTCAGATGACTTTCCTGCAGAATTTTAAGAACAAAATGCATTTCCTTATTTGTCTATGCTATCAATGTGTGATGAATGTTACTTGTGAAATTTGTAAGGTTGTTTGATTTAAAAGAGTTAATTATTTAATAGACCTGATTTAGCTTTCAACCAAACAGTAGAAGAGCCTTGTCAAGTGGATAGTAACACCAGAAAGGTACTAAACTCCTAACAGTTAGACACGATCACAAAAGGGCCGCATTTGCATAGGTATAAAACTCAAGGCATGAAGGAGTAGGAAGCAGGAAAAACTGAAGGGTGGTTACATAGTGGGGAAACAAAGGAGAGAGTTTCCAGTATAACCTGTAATTATCAAAAAAATAATTTTGAGGCTTTATTTTGGGTTCCTTCTGTGTTCAGACTTTGGGTTTGGATAGTTGGTTCTTTCATTACTTACCCAGTAGATTGTATTTTCATTGTCTTTTCAGGGTGCTGACAACCAGGGTGCAGGAGAACAAGGTAGACCAGTGAGGCAGAATATGTATCGGGGTTTTAGACCACGATTTCGCAGGTACGGACCAATTCGCTTGCTTATATTAAATCTTCAGCAACTTGCTTGCCTGCAGTTCTTGAATGATTTATCTCTTACTCGTTCATTTTTTATTCTGTCAAATACATGGATTTGTACCTTTGTTTATACTGGTTAAAATGGCTTGTAAATGAAGTGGGGTGTTTGTTGTTGTTTTTTGTTTTTGTTTTTTAAATGAAGGCATAGAATTTCAGCTTCTGTTACATCTTTTGAGACTTGCTTCATTAGAGTGGAAAAGTGAAGGTCACAATCACTTGCATATTAGAATAAGTACCCACCAAAGTGCCTTTTGATACACTGGCATGTTATTCTGCCATTTACTCTCAAGTGTTTCAGGAGTTGGTGAGATAAATAACAGTAAAATGTACACAGTTGAGGAATCTTGAATGAAGGCATGAGGATTCTTTTCTATTTTCAAATTTATTTTTTTTTTTTTTTAAATTTTCAAATTTTTGAAAGCCAGTACTTAAAAAAAAAGCAATGATATTACCTTGGAGGGGAAGGGGGAACAAACCAAACAAAACGTAATCCCAGACTAGCATAATAAAAACAATCAACCTGCTTAATTGAAAAATAGAAAATCCTTCTTAGCATAAAGTGTTTTAATAATAATGTATTATTATGGCATAAAGTACCATGAGACACATGTTTCTGGCATTTTGAGGCATTACTCCCAGTTCTGTCCGGTAGGGTATGATGCAGCACTCTTTTAAGGATCACATGATTGGTTTTGTTAGTGTTGGATACCTCCAAACCAAGCCATCTTGATCCTCACTATAGGAATTTTTTGGGTGTCAGGAACCAAGATATGGTCTTAGTTTTATGCTAAGTGTTAATTGATCTTCTTTGTCCCATTTCGGTAACTTGAGTAGGTTCCTGGAGTGTTAGGAATAAGATCCTGATTGATATTGATTGAGCAGTAAATTGAAAGATCTGAATCAGTGAAGTGGCTTTTGCTGAAAAGGAAACAAATGGAGTGGTTAACTGTAAAAGGGGACAGTTGCTAGCTCTAAAGTGACTACTAGACTTATTTCCTTGTATGTTTCTAAGTATTATTTTGACGATAGTAGAGGCATTAGCTTTTGGCTAAGGTTGTGAATGTTTGTAGTTCATAGGCATTTGTCTCTGATTTTTGGAATTGTTTTTGCCATCAAGTCACTTGCGACTCAGAGCAACCCTGTGTACTACAACAGTTCTGAACCTTACTCTATCCTAAACCAACCTTATGGTCTCTGACACACCTACCCCCATTATCTCATTCACTGAGTCAGTCCATCTCATTGAGGATCTTCTTCTCTTGTGCTGTCCCTCCAACTTCCCAAGCATGATGTCCCTCTTCAAGGACTGGTCACTTAGTGCAGTATGCCCAAATTATGTCAGATGGAGCTTCAGAATCCTTGTCTCCAAGGAACAGACGAGCTTCACCCTCTCTGGGACAAACCTGTTTATTCTCCTAGCAGTCAATAGTATATTCAATATTCGTCTCCAGCACCACAGTTCAAAGGCATCAATTCTCCATCTATCATCCATAGTTATTATCCCAGCTTTCTGATGTGATTGTATACATATTATTTTTGTGTGAATATTTTTGATTGTCTCGAGTTACATGCTGAGTGGGATTGTTAAATGGTGTGATAACTGCATTTTAACATTTGATAAGTTGTTAAACTGCCACAGAATGCACTGTTTTACACATCAGCAGTGTCATAAAGGGTTTCAGTTTTTCCATATCCTTTTATTATTACCCATCTTTTTTTATAGTCTTTCTTGAGTACATGTGAAAGGATTTCTGGTGACACAGTGTGTTGTACTATAGCCAAAAGGTTGTTACTTTGTATCCCCAACTGCTTTTTGGGGAAAAGATGAGCTGTCACCTCCCATAAAGATTTAACTCCTAGGAAAACAAGTGGAGGAATA